TAAATAAACAACAATTAAAACAACTTTATTATTCGTTTATCCACTACCAATTAAATTATGAAAATATTGTATGGGTAAGCACGTACAAAATTTAAATCTCTTTATCAGCATCAGAAACACGCAGCTCGCTCAATTAATTTTGTAAATCGTTTTTCAAATTCAAAACTACTTCTGAGAGAAATGAAAGCCTCAAATGTATGCGAACTAAATGTTTATAATATTTTATTTTTCATGTATAAATGTAAGAATCATTTATCTCCTGATGTATTTATAAACCTTTCTAATGTAAAACCCATAAACAAAAACAATCTTTGCAATGCAAATAATCTGCAAGAACCTTTCTGCCAAACAAAATTTGAACAACTAATTAATTTCTTATCGCGGTCCTTATTTATGAAATAAAATAGTTTTGCCAAATTTTGATTTGTCTTTGAAATGGACTTTAACTTCTTTAAAATGAAAATTAAAAGAAGTTATCTTTTCAGCAGAAAATATTTTTCCTTTCCTTTCCTTTTTTTTTTTTTTTTTTTTTTTGTTTTATATATTTTATCTAGTATATTTATACTTTAAATGCACAGTTTTATATAGTTTATGTTGATTTATTTTTATTAGTTAATTTAATTTTATTGTATTTATTATTATTATTATATTTGATATTGTAAAGAGCTTTATGATAAGATCGTACAATCTTCTGGAAGTCCTGCCGAATATATTTGTAATAAAGCTATTCTGTAATTATAATTTTTTTTATTGAAGGTAAATAAATTAAAAAAAAAAAAAAAAAAATTTTACCTAGAGAATCGCTAACTTAAATAACTTTTCATATTTTAATAGACTTAAAATTCTTGGTTTGGAACTACTAGCAATTCGTCGCCTAAAGCAAGACATGGTTACATGTTACAAAATTCTTAACACTTTTGTTTGCCTAAATAAATAAAGTATCTTTTTAATAAACAACTTTATTTACTTACGAGGTCGCAAATTCAAATTACGCAAACTAAAGTGGAAACTCGATGTCTGTAAATACTCTTTCACAGGGTTGGTAGTACTTGGAATAACCAGCCGTCTGACGTTGTTAGTACCACAAATGTCCAGAGCGTCAAAATTAAAATTAACTCTATCAACTTTAAAAAATACTGTTCCACCTGACTAGTTTTTATTTTATAAATGTGGTCTTCTATAACATTTGTAATATATATTTATGTTTTTTTTTGTAAATTATCTAGCATATGTATTATGTAATTGTAGGGCGTGTTAAATACTTAACATTTTATTGACCTGTGTGTCCTTTAGAACATGTGTGACTGTTCTAATAAGTTTTATTTTAATCTAATCTTAATATTTTTGCTTAATTGTTTTTTTTTAAAAGTAAATTTTTGAATTTTTAAAAAAAATTAGTATACTGAATAAATTTGTCCTAGTGTAATTTAATCATTAAATTAAATTTAATTTAATTTAGTTAAAGTTTTCTTTTTATATTTGCGTTTAAAGAATAAAATTTTGATTTTTTAGCTGGACAAAACACCAATTCTCCAAAATGTAAGTGATGTGACTAGCAGTGATATTTCTCCATCTTTTATTATTTTAATGTATAATATAAACTTCATTTTTTCAAAATAAACGGTTCAATTTAAGCTATTAGAAATATACAAAATAAGTAAATAGTTTATGTTTAAAGCATAAAATTTTGATTTTATAGCTGGACAAAACACTGAACCTCCAAAATGTTAGCGATGAGTTTTTTAGTAATTTTTATATAGTTCTAAAATATAACAAATAAGAAAATTAGTATTAAATGTTTTCTATGAAAAATATACAATATAAGTAAAAAGTTTATGTTTAAAGAATGAAATTTTGATTTTATAGCTGGACAAAACACTGAACCTCCAAAATGTAAGCAATGAGTTTTTTAGTAATTTTTATATAGTTCTAAAATATAACAAATATAAATAAGAAAATTAGTATTAAATGTTTCCTATTACAAAAAGATAAAATAAGTAAATAGTTTATATTTAAAGAATAAAGTTTTGATTTTATAGCTGGACAAAACACTGAACCTCGAAAATGCAAGTGATGAATTTTTTAGTAATTTTTATATAGTTCTAAAATATAACAAATAAGAAAATTAGTATTAAATGTTTTCTATGAAAAATATTCAAAATAAGTAAAAAGTTTATGTTTAAAGAATGAAATTTTGATTTTATAGCTGGACAAAACACTGAACCTCCAAAATGTAAGTGATGAGTTTTTTAGTGATTTTTATATAGTTCTAAAATATAAAAGTTAAAAATAAGAAAACTAGTATTGAATGTTTCTTATAACAAAAAGATAAAATAAGTAAATAGTTTATGTTTAAAGAATAAAGTTTTCATTTTATAGCTGGACAAAACACTGAACCTCGAAAATGTAAGTGATGAATTTTTTAGTAATTTTTTTATAGTTCTAAAATATAACAAATACAAATAAGAAAATTAGTATTAAATGTTTTCTATTAAAAATATACAAAATAAGTAAATAGTTTATGTTTAAAGCATAAAATTTTGATTTTATAGCTAGACAAAACACTGAACCTCCAAAATGTAAGTGATGAGTTTTTTAGTGATTTTTATATAGTTCTAAAATATAAAAGTTAAAAATAAGAAAACTTGTATTGAATGTTTCCTATTACAAAAAGATAAAATAAGTAAATAGTTTATGTTTAAAGAATAAAGTTTTGATTTTATAGCTGGACAAAACACTGAACCTCGAAAATGTAAGTGATGAGTTTTTTAGTGATTTTTATATAGTTCTAAAATATAAAAGTTAAAAATAAGAAAACTAGTATTGAATGTTTCTTATAACAAAAAGATAAAATAAGTAAATAGTTTATGTTTAAAGAATAAAATTTTGATTTTATAGCTGGACAAAACACCAATTCTCTAAAATGTAAGTGATGATATTATCAATGATATTTCTCTATCTTTTATTGTTTCAATGTATATTATTAATTTCATTTAAATAAAAATTAAAACTGATTTAGTTTAAATTAATAATACATACAATATATATATATATATATATATATATATATATATATATATATATATATATATATATATATATATATATATATTCATACATAAAATTGAAAATATATCATTTTCGGTGACATACTATTTATTTAACTTATTAAAATTTTTTAATTTTTAATGTGATATTTCGGCTCATATAGTTGGACCTGTTATCAAACTACAATAGGTTACAATAAGTTCATTTTTTACAATAATGATATCATGGCTGCGTAATATTACAAGTTTTTCTTAAATTTAACAAAATATGGTTTCCAAAGGTAGGTCGTCACCAGGCCCGTCTTTACACATGTCCAGCCTAGGTAGCCGCTGTGGGGCCATGACATTTAGAGAGGCCAGCAAGAAATCAAATTGTTTCTAATAAATTTTAATAATAAAGATAAAAGTGCAATGGCGCTTTTTTTAATTATTTAAAACGTTTTTTATTTACTAAAACAACCATAACTCCTAACTCCTACATAAATAATTTTTTTTCCGCCAAGATTGCCATCCGATTGAATTAGAAAAAAGTTCTCTTTTCACAATTTTTTTTTGTATATTATTCTTATCGGGTTTACTGTATTTCGACGATAAGAAAAGCTTACAAGATTAAGCAAATACAAATATATAAAAACATGGGCTGGTCCAAGAAAAAGACAAATTTAGCCTCATCACTAAGTCCCATAAAATAAATATGTAAATTAAAATTTTGATTTTGTATCTGTGCAAAATACCAATTCTCCCAAATGTAAGTATTGAGATTATTAGTGATATTTTTTCATATTTTTTTATTTGATACATTTCCGCCCTTATTCTCCAAAAATTATGTTAATTTTATGTTTTATATGTTAGAAATCTCTTCTTTAAAATTTTTTAAAAAACGATGGTTTTATTTAAATTAATAGTAACATACAAAACATAAAATTATTTTTTTTTTTTTTGAGAAGGGGGGAGAGGTTTCTAAAAGGCCAAAATACCGCGAAAAAAACTAGATGAATAAAAATTTTTAGTGCATGAAGGGACAAAAATAGCAACTTTAAATGTAAGGTTGTTGGAAAGATCAATAATGTAGATAAGAAACAACACAGGACCAAGAATAGAACCTTAAGGTACCCCAGAATTCACTGGAAACGAAGAAGAGTGTTAACCTTCAAGAATGGCTTTAATAAAGCGATTAGAAAGAAACGATGAGATAATCTCAAAAACTTTCCCAGATACACCATATGAAGCAAGCTTATAATGAAGACCATCATTTTAATAGAGGAATAGCTTCTTTGCTTCTATATAATGCACAATAAATCTCTTAGCTACAGCAGTTAGCTAGTCAGCCGTTGAACGAGAAGATAGATTTGATCAAAGTTTCAAAGAAAAAAGAATGTTTGGGGGAAAATTGAAGCAACAGATGCTGTTTTCCAGCAGGCAAGTAAACAAGAGACAGTCAAGCACTTCCTAAACAGTTTAGAGGGAATTGAAGAGACTACTTAGAACAATTTTGTAAGACTATGACAGGAATATTGTCTGTACCACAATCTGTTAAAGAGTTTAATTGAGATATAACTTTAGCAACAGAAGCTGAAGTGATTTGAATATCTAGCAATGCATTAACCTATTTAACTGAAATGGATGGAAGAGAATGGCCATAAGATTAAAGAGTCGAATTAGAAGAAAAATACTTATTGTCCAGTTTTATTCTTCCATAAATTCATAATTAAAATGCTGTAGTTCTGTTGCACTGCTACTCCAACTTGATGGTTTTTCAGTTCAGTTTTTGTTATAGATAATAATATTGCGCCTTTTTAGATTCGTAGAGACATCCAATTTTTTTAAACAATGTTTTCCTACAGTTTCGTTGTGTCAACTAAAAGTATCCATCAAAGACTTCCAAATCACCTGGTCGATACCCAGGGATTTTTTTTAAATTAATCAAAAAATGCGATTGCTATTCCTTGGTCGTTAATGGTTGTTGTTTAGTACCATTTCAATTTCAGAAAGTAATGTTCGTATTTCTTCATAAGAAAATTTCGAGGTCTTTAAGGCTTTTTTTAAACATCGTTTCGTCATTAGTACCAGTCGCTCAAACAACCTTCCCCTCCAAGGGGCCAAAGGCGCATTAAATTTCCATTTAATAGAATGGTTTGCAGCAAATGATTGAGTTTCAACTAAAACGAATTGATAACCATTGTCAGAATAAATAATTTCTGGAACACCCCGCTTTCCAATAAATTGACGAATACCCATTATACATAATCTAGATGAACAGTCAGCTACTAAATCTAATAAAATATAACGACTACTGCAACACGTAAACAAAGAAATCCATGCTTTATTTAATGTACTATCATCATAAACATCTGTGATATACAGTGGACCAGCATAATTCAAAGCAATGTACTTGAAAGCAAAATCAGAGTTTAAACAACTTTCTGGTAAAGGAGGAGTAGGTGGATAAGAATAAGGTTTACCCTCTATACGTCGACAACTTGTACATTCTCGTATCAAATACTGGGATCTTAAAGCATTAATTGTCTCTTTCAAACCATTGTGCTTAACAAGCTTATGAAAATGTAAAACTAATAATTTGGCAAAATAAAAATTATTAAATACAAATATAAGAAATTTAGTGTCGTATTCTAAATCAGCATTTTCAATTCTACCACGACATCGAAATAATCCGTTGTCAACAAATAAACGTAGATCTTTACGTAATTGTTTGAAACTATTTTCATCGATTAGATTTATCTGTGAAAATTTAATTCACAATTGCTTCCAATTATCCATTTCTTCGGCTGTTTTTGAGTCTGTCTTAAAGTTGTTCTTCTTTTTATCGTTTGCGTTTTTGATAAATCGAAGAATCTAGGATGTTACTCGAAGCAAGTACCTAAAATTACTAAATTTATCAATATTAATAAAGTCAAGATTAATCTTACACTTAATATGTGCCACATTACAAAGAACTTCCGAGTTTTCATTTGAATGATTAACATGTTCATAATATGGTCATTTAATAGTAATATCGTTTAAAAAATTGGGTCCAGAAAACCAAAGTATATTATTTTAACTTTTTAAGTGATGATCCTCGAGATGTTCTATCTGCAGGATTTCTATATGATTCAATATAGCTCCAATTATAAATTAAAGACAATTCTCTTATTTTAATTAATCGATTTTGTACAAACTGTTCATAGGTATTATTAGCATTAAAAATCCAATGTAAGCAAATTGTTGAATCAGTCCAATATACTATATTTGAAATGTTATAAATAGATATCAATTGATCATAAATTGATGCTAATAATTTTGTTAATAGTAAAGCTGCAGAAAGTTCTAATCTAGGCATTGTGTTCTTGTCTAATGGGGCAACTCTAGATTTTGAAGCTATTAAAGAGGCACGACTAAAATTAGCATTAAAAAATCTCACATAAACACAACACCCAAATAACTTTACACTCGCATCAGCAAAACCATGTAATTCAAATTTTATGTTATTCATATTACCCAACCCAGAGCTTATATACCATTGCGGTACTGCTATTTGGAAAACAGATTTGAAATCACCTTAAATAAGGTTCCAAGCAGACAATAAATCACCAAACAATTTTTCATTCCAACCTAATTTAGCAATACATATTTTTTGAAATAAAATTTTGTATGTTGCAACTATTGGATTTATAAGACCTATCGGGTCATATATACTAGCATAACATGAAACGCATAACTTCTTATTTTGTAGGAATTATTGAGGCTGTATTTAATAAATCCTCAAATGAATAAATTATTGAATCCTCTGTCTTATTCCACTTAAGACCTAAAACTTTTGTTTATAATTTCATTTCAGCATTGTCACCATTAATCTGTTTTTCAAATACTGAAGAGTTAGACTCAAACTTTCTCAAGTTAAAACCTTCTTCCTTTAATATGGCCTTACATTTATTAAAAATAAAACACCTTCTTTTATAGTATCACAGCTAGAATTCAAATCGTCTTTATATAAGGATTGTAAAAATGTTGAGAAAAAATTACTATCAGAGAGACAATACTTTTCTGCATGATAGATAATGTGGTATTAAGGAGAAATGGAGACGAAGTAACACCAAAGGGAACTCGACATAAACGATAAGTAAGCTAATGCAGATAAAAACAAATTACTATTATTAACATTATAAATATCATTGAACCATATTAGACGTAGATAATCTCTATCATTCTAATCAAGGGCAATCTGCAAGAATGCTTTTTCTATATCTGCAATAAAGGCATACTTATTAGCACGAAAATCTTAATAATATAAAAAATAAAGGGTCCAGCACTTTTACAATCATTTAATGTTGGACCTGATAAAGTGAAACTTGCATCGAAAACCATTCTTACCTTTGATGTAGTTTTATCTTTACAACACACTGGGTGATGTGGCAAATAATGCACCTCCCCAATACTTGAATCATAACTATCTACTTTCTCTATTACACCAGAATTTAATTGATCTATGATTATCTCATTATATTCATTTAAGAGCTTAGGATCATTCTTTAATTTTTTTAAAACTGCATTTAAACGCTTTATGCATAAACTGTAATTATCACCCAATATTGCATGGTCCCCTTTAAATGGCAATTTTACTTGCACTCTTTGATATCAAAATAAATATTATTTTTAAAATGCTCAACAATATTATCCTTAACTCCAGAATTCTCTAAATCCCAAAACTTTTTAATTTTGTTATAAAACTAAAGAATTTCATTAACGAATTTCGCTTCAACTTCTAAAATATGTGTGGAAAATACACAACAATCTTTTCCACTTAATATATAGCCAACTGATGACTGCAAAGCAACAGGGCCTGTATTGGCACGAATTACTTTGCCATTAAAAAATGACCAATAATAGTCTGCTCCAATTAATATATCAACTTCCAAGGACTTATGATCAATATTGCTATCTGCTAAAGTGATACCTTTTAAATGTTTAAAGGACTCAACAGCTTCCTCTATATATTGACCAATGAGAGGAGCACATATGGGTTTAACAAAACAAGTTATAGATACTAAAGAATCCTTTAAAGTCAGTAAAGAAATTTTAGCCATATCTAAGGTCTGTGTTTAGCTCTGATTGCCAAAAGTTTTAGTGTTTAATTGCTTTCTACTTATTGTGGGTAAAAAGAGCTTTTTTCGTAATGATGGGGAAACATAACCTAGATGAAAACAACTATCAAATAGAAGACGACATCTCAGTGTCCTATTCTTTTTTTAACAGTAACCATGGCAGTTTGCAATAATACATTTTTAGATTTTAATGATTCAGTACTAGCGACAGATGTCAATTTATTGTTTGATTCTTTTTTATCATCAATATGTGAGGGAAACTTTTTAAAACACATAGACACATGATGTTTAACTGAGCGTTCAAAACAGCTGATTCTAGAATGACAATCATTAGACATACGACCAGACCTCAGGCAATTAAAACAACGCCTTTTTTTCTCTTAAAATATTTCTTCTAGGAATTTTATTTGCCACAGTTTTACAATTTTAACATTTGTGATTTTTACTACAAAAAATACATTTTAATTCGTATTTTGGCTTAAAAGAAGCACTAGAGTTTAGTACTACTGCTGTTGAAGGATTACATTGACCCTCTCTACCTGATTGCGCTTTTTCCCTAGCTTGTAATTCAGATTTTAAATATTTTAAAACATACTTTATGTTCCAATTATCACAGGAATTATAGTTTCTAGCAATAATTAAATATAATTTTTCTGGAATTTTTTGTATTATGATAGGTATTAGCAAAGGTCCGTACAAAGTTGAATCAATACCTAAATTATGAACTTCGATATTGTCATGTATACGTCTTAATAAAGAAATATTGCCTATACTTTGCACTCTCTCTACAGATAGGAGTGACATCATGTGTGTTGAAATTAAAAGTTGTTTATCATTAAATCTTTCCTTATGTAATTCTAATGATGTAGGATGGTTATCATTTGTTACAGCTAAACCTGAAATTATTTTTAAAGCTTTTCCCTCAAGTAAATTTTGTAGATAATTAAGTTTTTGTATTGGGGAAAGATCATTATTATTATGGATAAAAAATTCAAAATTTTCGTAAAAAGTTTGCCATTCTTCCGGGTTCCCATTAAAGGTACTAAATTTTAAAGGTGGAAGTTTAATATTATTATTTGCAAAAGTTTTTATACTGCTAGATTGTGTCTCATTGTTACATTTATAAATCTTATCATTAAATTTTTCAATTATTTTTACATTCTTTTTAAAATATAAAGAAAATTCAGTAGCTAAATTATCTTCATTTTTTAATTCTTTATCATCTTCAATTAAATTAATAAAATCATTATCAATTGCTTGAACCTTATTATAATTTTCAATTAAAATTTCTTTAAAACTAGATAGTTCCTCGAACGAGTAACTATCTTAGCTAAAATTAGCTATACAATCATTGGCCCTTTCAAATATGTTTTTAATAGGAGTGACCGTAATGGTACGAAAACGTCGTTTCCCAGCAACACTTGATATTATATAAAAATTCCTAGGAATGTAAACAACAAATGTTTACTTAAAAAACTATGCTTATTCTGACACAAACACAAATTACTCACAAATATATAACTTTTTTAATGCTAATAAAAATACGTGCATTAAATAACGTCAAAATATGGATAAACCACAAAAAAACAAGGACAATGTCAATAAGTACTTAACTTCAACTTTCTTCTTACAACTTCTTCAAATTTCTTTAAAATGAACCAACAACAAACTTTAGCAACAGCTGATAACTTCAGGATCAGCAACAAAGTTAAGATCTCCGTGGGCTCCAAAATATTGAGTATTTTAGTTACTCAACGGTTTACGTAATTAATAGAACTTTTTATTTAGTTACAATCATTTATTATGAAATAATAAGAAGCGTTGATACAAAATATACTTAAGAAGTAATATCAACTGAGTAATTCAACTAAGTAATTTAACTAAGTAAGTAATATTAACTATCTAAGAGATGGCGAAATATGCAATACACATTGGGAAATAGCAATGGATTATTTGCGTGAAGCCGAATAGGCTTCAACACATATTCTGTGCATATTGAATAATAAAATAAAAAAATTAATTTCAAGGAAACTAAGTTTATAAGAGACTTAATCTCCTGACTTTATTATTAAAATTTTATAACTAAAATGACTTTCAATTTATGCATCTTTTTTTAAAACTTTGGTTGTCCTTAAGCTTGCCCTTGTTCTATATGACGATAGTAATAGCTTGACAAAACTTAAAGAAAACTGAATGCCTCGTTCTGTGCAATCATTGATAACCTTCATTTGACAAACCTTGTGCTTCATTTCAAGATATGTTGAATCTATTTCCCGCTATAAAGATTCTTTTTAAAAATTAAAAGTGATTCAGTTTTTTCTCTGCCATTCTTCAAAATTAGATTAAAAAGTTCTGCAGTACATTGTGTGATGAAAAAAGACAATGGATTATGACAATTTAATTTGGCAGCATCAAGTCTTTTTCAGAGATTTCTGCTTTGGCTGCTGTTTTAGGTTGTTTAGCTGGTTAGGCAATTTGGCTGGTTTAATGAATAATATGTATATTGTATATAATATGTATATTTTATATAATAATATGTATACTTTATATAATATGTATTGTCAAATATAGGTTATACCTACTAGTTTATAAATATACAATTTATATTATCTGAAATTTCTATTCATTATTAGTTCATTAGTATATTCATATTCTTGCAATATAATTACTAACATTTGGTTAACTAATCTTATGAAACACGGCAAACCCTAAAATTTCTAATATTAGTCTAATTTTTGATTTTTGACAACCTTGAGGAGAATGTTTTTTGTGACATTATATATTCACATATATATATACATATATATTCATATATATATATATATATATATATATATATATATATATATATATATATATATATATATATATATATATATATATATATATATATATATATATATATATATATATATATATATATATATATGTATATATATATATATAATATATATATATATATATATATATATATATATATATATATATTTATATATATATATATATATATATATATATATATATACATATATATTTTCCGGGTACACGGCTGAAAAAACCGGGTCCGAGTCCGGGTACTCTGCACCGAGCTCATTTTTTAAAAGTTGGAATAAAAACTTGTGAAATCTCTAGCTCTGAACTATTCACACAAAATACGCTTTTTACGCTAACTAACCAAAAGTTATGTGGCGGAAGTACCATTTAGCAAAACCCCGCAATGCAGAGTAAGGGGCCTAAGTTGTAGGGCCTAACTTTTTTCAAAAGTTGTGCAACAGTTTTTTAATAACTATATTTAGTTTAAAATTATTTTTTTCTGGTGGAGCGAGCTTAAATAATATTTTGTGGGGAAGGGGGCAAAATTTGAAGTTCTCCCATTGAAAGTTATATTATA